TAGTAAATTACAAAAAGCATGACTTGAATGTATTTTTTATGTGTAAATAGATAAATATCACTAAGTCTGCATTTTTAAATTTGATTTATTTCAATTAATAAAGGTCTTGAACTAGAATCATTTCAATGTAAAGTTTTTACTTTGAATCAACTTCAACTTCTCTTTAGAAATTTATTCAAAGGATTTGAGAAATAGAATACCCTGTGCATATTGATAGTAACGGTAATAAGTGCTTTTATAAACTGCAATAATTATAATACAAAACTAGCTATAAAAATACTATATATTGTAGCTGTACATATTTTAAAAATCTGTTAACTCCAAACAATCATCTCCTGATGCATAATTATATTGATTTCTTTCTTCTGCCATACTATATCACCTAGCTCATATATAACATTTGTTCAGTGACAGAATAACCAATATCCATATGTTAATCCTATATTGTATTCAAAACACACATCGGCTGAATTAATAATGTATAATAGCAGCACTTCTTGTACATATGCATCAGTCTGTTGTATCAGCTCTTGCAGGATGAGAGTTAGTTGCAGCCACTCTTAGAATCCAGGCCTATAGCATATGGGAGCATGTCTCAGGATTGCCAAACTAATTTTCAATATTTTTCTAATATAAACACTCATCAGAAATGTGTACTTTCTTGCCATTTAGTGGCTTGACTAGCACAGTCAATTTAGATGTGATATTCTGGGCATGAAGTGCCATATTAGACCTTGTACACCTTTGTCAGCCATTTACCCATCCATGTATCAAGAAATGTTCTGTGCATGAATGGTTAGTTTGGTTTTTCCTCCCTTTCTAAGATCCACTTCATTTTGTCTATAATGTCCTACAAGCTCTATTATGGTGTTAAATTTCTGTGGAAATACAGAGCAAGTYTCAGAACATTGTATGATATAAATTGGAATAATTAATATTTGTGCAAACAAAATTGTTATAATTCAGTAAATTAATATTTATTATAATAATAGAATAACTGAAGACATTAATATGGCCAAAATACAACATTATAATTTACAGTCATGAACATTACCTGTATACCGCTTGCTCCTAAAACATATTGTCCATCTTTTTTAGGAATTCTAAAACATAAAAATACCATAATAAATGTCTAAATAAATTAGGATAATTTTCATCAAATTCAACAAATTCTAACATTTAGCCAGTGCTGTGTCAAATGTTACTTCATGTAAAGCCATAAGCACTGCAGGCTATTTTGATAAGAATTTACTGTGAGTCAAAATATATATCTTACTGTAAGTGTACTACYTTTCCTTGATGTAGAAGTGACATTGAGTAGTCGTTGGGATTTTTTGTGCTGTTCCTGACAAGGAAGGCTCCATCCTAAAATGATTAGTGAAATGTCATTATATTGCAGTGTTATGTCAAAACAACTTCATGATTGTGTTATATGGGTGACTGATTTTTGTACCTACTGTAATTGGATTATTACAGATTAGTAATGCATTTCTAAATCATTTTTCTGATTGTGTAAGGATATATTAATTATACATGCTAAATCTAATGGTTCCAGTTCTAAATGTCCAAAATGCATAGTGCATGGATTATTTCTGCATGTACTGCGTATGTAATTGAAGGCCAGACTGTAAATTTCTGTTTGCAAGTGAACTGACTGCTTACCATATTGGTTAGTTTCAAATTGGCTTCACTTTTTTTGCGATCAACACTTCCATGAAACCATGGGGCCTCCTTCATTGTGTCAAGAGCACTCTATAAGAGAGAGTTTTTAAAAATGTTACTAAAAATATTACGTTGTTGGCCTTAGTAATATTTCTGTTAAATTTAGTTACAACAGAAATGTGAGGTGTGATACCACTGTTGCCATGGTGATAAGTGNCCATGAGATAAGCATGAGATAAGCACAAGAATATCAAGCCTTGCTCGTTTTTCTTGTGCTCATGCTTATGCTTATTTTGAGCCCGTTCTCACTGGCGCATATGACTCTCGTGCTTCGTGCTTATGCCTATGCTTATGTGCTAGTGAAATCCACGCTTAATTGAAGGCCAGACTGTAAATTTCTGTTTGTAAGTGAACTGACTGCTTACCATATTGGTTAGTTTCAAATTGGCTTCACTTTTTTTGCGATCAACACTTCCATGAAACCATGGGGCCTCCTTCATTGTGTCAAGAGCACTCTATAAGAGAGAGTTTTTAAAAATGTTACTAAAAATATTACGTTGTTGGCCTTAGTAATATTTCTGTTAAATTTAGTTACAACAGAAATGCAAGGTGTGATACCACTGTTGTCATGGTGATAAGTGGAGAGTTACCATAGTGATTAAATGGTTGTTACCATATTTAAGGTACCTTTTCTGTTGGAGTTTGAGGTAAAACTTTACGACGACCACCTGGTAGTGGTCTGTTTGGAGAGGGTAACTGTACAACAGGTTCATCAGCGGACCCAGACTCTGTATATCAAAAAAATTCCAGTTATTAATAACAGAAAACTCTCAATACCATTTCTCTCTCACCGAGCTAACACAGGAAGCCCAATAATTTAAGAGAATGTTTGCTTGTAGACGAGAATAGGGAACATTKACCCTCCCTCCCTTGCACTTCATTTGTAAATTGTTATAGCAGACTGGCTCACCTAAGCTTGAACCTGATGACTGTTCTCTAGCATCTCTGGCACTATGAAGAAAAGCAAGTTGTGTGTTATTAATATAATAATGTGTGCCCTGTGTTTAATGCACTCAAAACAGACCTACCTTTGAAAAGAGGCAGTGGGAGGTGCAGGGAGTGGGACACCCTGTAAAGTAAAACAATAATGATGATATAATATAATGACACTTCTTTGGACACTTCAAGTTTGGGTTTGATTCTTACAGAGTAGTAGATCAACTTAGTTACTTACTTCCTACTTCTATATAGTGATAACAAATCATTGTACCTTTTTGTCTCCAGCACTTTGCCTAATTGGAGGAGTTGCTGGTTGAGGAGTCCCTTTCTTTGGGGGTCTTGGAGGRGCAGCAGGCTCWGATGGAGGTGGTTCTGGGGGTCGTTCTTGCCCTGGAGCAACTGGAAGRGGTCCAGAACGCCTGTGTTGWTGTCCAGTACCACTCTTTGAAGGAATATTTGGAGGTAATGGRGGAGGTTGATCCCTTCCAACTGGAAGCGTCGATGGTCTTGGTGATATTCTTCCAGCATCTGGTGTTGCTACTGGAAGTTGAGGCTTTGGACATTCAGGCCTTCGCTCCATAATGTGTGGAGATGGTGGATCAGATTTTTTCCGTGGTGTAYGTTCATGTCTTGTTGGACTATCTGGAGGTCCTGTCTTGGAGCCAGAGAGCTTCCTTGGTGGTTCTGCACCTGGTGGGGGTGCAGGTTCTCGTTTTATTGGATCAGAAGGTTTTGGTCTGGGTTTGGGTGTTCTTTTTTCCTCTGTTGGCAAAGTTTTGGTTGGCAAAGGAACTGGTTTTGTTTTTTTGGGTAATAGRTGAGGTTTTTGCATTGGTATTCCCTGGAAAGCKGATCCATGTGCTGAAAATGTTTGCTTAGGCTGACGGGCAGGATCTGGAAAAGCATTTGAGTGACTAGGTGAACCTTGTTTTGATGGTAATGTTGGTTTGTTGGGCAGGTGTCCTGGACTTCTTGGTGCTCCCCCCYGTAATGGTAAGCCCCCACCTTGTCTCTGTGGATAGCCACTTGTCTTATGCTGGGGGGACTTTTGTTGTTGTGGAAAGGAATTCCCTTGAGATGATTCTTGAGCTTGGCTACTTGTTGGAGGTTTGCGAAAGACAGTTTTCTGTGGTTGTGTACCTTTTGTGCATGAAATAACAGATAAGATTATGGCTGAATGGATAATGAAATAGTTGGTTTGGTTGATGAATACACATTTCCTTTATGGTTACTTGTAGCTGTACCTTTGCACTGAACCATTGAGTGTGCGATGATACATGTATCTGTCAATAATTGCCTGTAACTGTGAAAGAAGGTTTCTATCATTGCACACTCAACAGTCATGTCTATTTGGTGCTAAGGCATGGCTGCATTTCAAGATGGCACAGGGAACAGTGAAGGACACTGTTGAATAGATCCATTGATAGATGCATAGTGTTGGTTAATGGATGAGTACTGATACTTTACTATGTTTAACAATACTTTATCATACATGTAGTTCAAATATTCCTGACTTACTACTTATAGAGCTTGGAGGATTTGACTTTTGCTTGGGTGGACGGGCAGGAGTTGAGCTTGGAGTAGAAGCTGGTGTGCCAAGATTCTTTGGGGGTCTTGGTGGTGGAACTAGAGTATTAATTTATGTATAATATTAGAGATGTTTTTATTTGAACATGCAATGAAAATGACTAGAGACTGTAATACCCATACAACATGGCTCCTCTTGTTGTAAACTACACATACAATCCAGACATAAGGCCTAGCACTTTCAGCTGTACAGTGAAGAACAGTRGAGGCAGAGCTGCTAGAGATGGGACTGACTTGGGGCAAGGTTTTGAAGTTAGCGAAGAACTGAAAAGAATGGCGTTGCCGTACCGTGTCATGGCCCTATTTCACCTAGGGAAGATAGAGATTACTAACTAACTAACCAACCTTCAGCTGAACTCTTTGTTTTGGTCTCAGGAACTTCATATTCATCATCAGAAAATTCTTGGACTTGATGTCTTGCAATGTTGTTTCTGTTCATGTCTTGTTGGCCACCTCTGTATCTCTGTTGACAGACTCAATGTGTTAGTGAAGTACAGAATACTCAGTATGTCACATTTCATAATCACTTTTTACTCACTTGTGGTTGTGGTTGTACTTTAGTGGGAATAAACCTTTGTTTATTTGAAGGAGATTGTGAAAGATCTGAAAGTAAAATAACGATAAATGTGCATTACAATATAACATTACTGTTATTCTAATGATTTAAGATAGTGCCATGAATAGGCAGACATTCACTGGGTTAGTACCTTCTCCTTCAATGGGTGCTTCATATGTATCCTGGGACTCTTCTCCCTATTAAAGAAAGAAACAGTAATATCTTGAATAAATATTGAGTATCAAATACATTGATTATTTAACRCCATAAGTTATCATATCATCCCCCTCCCACCGCCCCACCCCTTACCACATTGGTAAACAGTATCCAGTGATCAACCATACACCCATCCTCTCATAATTGGTAGTGGGACAAGTTTTCAACTAATCCCACTCCTCCCTAGTTAAGTCATCATGTATGCTCACCCCCCATTTGCATTGCTATAGTCTCCTCTCATTGGTAATGAGACAAGTTATCAACAGATCCCAATTACACCTAGCCTCCCTTCGCACTTGTTTTCATATCAGGATACCAGCACCTGTACTCAAGGAAGAACAGGGTCAGTCAACCTTTTGCGAAAACTGTGCAAGGGAGACCAGCCCCTCCCCATAGATGGTAACATACCCTTGTTACTAAATAAGCTGGTCCATTCTCTATTCGTGGTGGCTTCGGTGGTGGCCTTACAACAACAGCTGAAAATAAATGTAACTGTCTAAGGAAACTGTATCTAGAAGAATGTGAAAAGAAATGATTGTTCTTTTTGAGAAGCTTTGTGAAGATCAGTTTCACTAGAACAGTGCATGCAGTGCCTGATAAAGACAAAATAGGTTTCACAGCAAAATAAAAATAAATACTAACTTCAAGCCATCAAATTTCAAACCGAAAATATGTACCAGAAAGACTTCATTAAACTCTCAAATCAAGCATTTTTCAGTATTTCTAATGCAGAATATTTTATATAATTGCCTATGCAACGATAATACTTCAATATGATAATATATCATTAGTATCTATGTAAATACAAAGAGTAATGACGTCATCCATACATATAGAATTATGACGTCATTTCGTGAAAACTTCCGGGTATTAAATGTGAAACAACTTCTTAAATTACAAATGTTTTTTATCTTGAAATCTTGAAAGTAGAAAATCACGAAAAACGTGAATGTTAGGAACTGACGTGCACGTCTTAGCGGCCGCTAACTTAATCGTTTTGCCTTTTGTGTTTATTTGAATACGCGTTAAGTGTTTTATAGGTTTTTTGTCTACAGTCATTGCTTCTCTTTTTGAGTCTCTCAGTTAAAGTGATTATTAGAACGTGTACAAAAGCAAGAAATCCAACAAAGGAGCTTTTTAAAGAGGATTGCCGCATTATTGAGCCAATAATTAAATTGCAGATATAAACTTACCTCCCCCAGAGCTATCACTTGGTTCTTCATAAAGATCTACAGAAGAAAGTTCATTGAGACCAAAAAGAGATAAAAATAGGCAAAAGACTTTTTTGAAGCACAAACTTTCGTTCACTGAAAAGTGAACGATGCCGTGTATTTACTTTGCACTTTTGTTGTGTCAGCAATATAAACTGAATGTATTTTATTAGTGTGTGGATGACGATATTGGGCAGTTACCTTCGTTTTCTAAATCCTCTTCTTGCGGGGGCTCGTCATATATGTCTTCGTCTTCGCCCTCGTAATACTGTTGAAATAAAACGTAAGTCAGCGTTACGGATTTTTTTTGCGTTTTGCATTTATAATGATTCCCGATTATACGACGCTGTTAACTTAAAGTTACACATTTTTGTGGTAAATTGTAAGTGATGAAGTCTTACTCTTACTCTATTCTGCCGATTGTAAAACACTACGTGCACAAGACGCGCGTAATTGTATAAAACTGACGATATGACTGCAATGTTGCAGACGGTTGATGCGGAAGTATAAACCAACTTATTGTGACGGAGCTTGTACAAAGCTTATAGAGCGTTTATAGATATACCATTTTGGGGAAATAAGTTCACGGTCACTTAACCCACCTACTTTAGATTCACATAACGTTTCGAATGAATGATATTGAAAGCAAAATATAAGTACAATTTCATAAACTAAGCTAAAGTGAAACATGACCTTTCGCCGGTATATATAATTACAAAATATTAAGTGAACACTTAAGCTTAGTGCAGCGTCAATGTACCTCTTCAAACATCCCCGATTTCCCTACGAGGCTGTACGTCCCAGTCATTATCAATCACATCCAAACGCGAAAAACTGTTTTTCTGACATTGTTTGGAAGGTTTGAATACAAATTTTCTTCAAAAGGCAGACAGTATTTGCCAGCGCATCAACCAAGTGATCGAGGTTAAATATGCTTAGACATGTCTGGCATATTGTGTAACTAGATGACAGTGAATTTTTAAGTGAGATATGTGATTTTATGTCATATTGAATTAGAGAATGCTACAAGCCGCAAGCTGATACTGCGCGCGCGTGAGAGATGAACTACATAATTCGGTTCGTCGTTTGTTACCAATAGGAAAGCGCCATTTACTTATAAGTTAACTAGACACGTGGTCTTTAGTAGTCGGGAAGATCTGACGATTTTCACTTTTTGGCTTGGATTCTCTCTTATCTCCTATCATATTTCAGTCTTTCATGCGTTCAATTTCCTCTCTCAGATTTTTTTGTTTTCATTTGTCATCTTCTCGTTCCATCTTTCACCTCGAATAGACTTGTTTTTTCAATAGGCCATTCGCATGATGGCGTAACTTTACCTGTTTACTACAACTACCAGAGAGCCTTGCACATTTTCATTGTTATTTAGATTTTTAATCCCCTTGGAGGTTAAAAAAACAATTGGCACTAATTGCATTACAAAAGAAAGTTGGCAAAGCATTCTGGTAGTTGTAGTAAATGACTCCATAATGCAAATCGGCTATTTTCTCTCACTTTCCTTTATTTTCTTTTTAGTCTTCCTTCCTTCATTCTTCCTAAGTTTCTTCTTTGGCTTCCTKCTTTCCATCTGTCCATTTAATTCTTCCTTTCATCCTTCTATCTCCCGTAATTTCTCCTTTTCCTTTCATTTATTCCTTCATCTCTTCCAGTTTATTTCTGGCCTCTTTTTCTAACTATCATTCCCCCTTCACTTGTAGTGTTTCTTTCCATCTTGCTTGCTTCTACATTGTTTTCCTGTTTTATGTCATCTTGCCAGTTACCAGGAGCCCATTACTTATACACCCTTTTAATAAGTCCCAAGGTATTGTGTTCTTCGCACTTGAAGTTAAATTTATTCTTTTGAATTGCTTTTGTATTGTAAAAATTTCAAAAGAATAAATTTGACGTCAAGTGCGCAGAACACAATACCTCAGCACTTATTAAAAGGGTGTATAGTAATGTACTTTATCAATTATTTATTACAATATGTCCAACAACTCACCTGGTCGTCTTGCTGTGGTGCTGCACCTCTTCTGAGACTCTCTGCGATGCCTTCTCTTAGCTGTGCAACCTGTAGAAATCACCAAAGAAATTAACAGCAACAGTGGCGGATCCAGGGGGGTTCCATGGGTTCCTAGGAACCCCCCTTGAGCATAAAAAATAAAAATAAAATATATGATAAATGAAATAAAATGAAAATGCAAATCGCACACAATTGCATCTGAGAAGGATGAAGGTGGCTTATATCTTACAATAGGTAAGCAGCTTTATATTACATTTTTACCACATGGCTGCAATGTACCCACACAGAACTTTAAAGCGTTTAAAGAGATGCGCTATCTAAAACTACATTCACGTTACATTTGCTACTGTTAGTATGCGTGTCTCAGGATCTTGTGATTCTTTTAGCTTTATTCAGCTACTGACTAGATTTTAGATTTTACAAGGTATTTTCTAAGCTACAAAATCAGTTCAAATTCTATTTACTTAAGCTTTGACATTAGAAGCAGAATTCCTATTGGTGATGTTACTAAAAAGGGCGTAATCACGAATTAAATCAACAACGTCAACTTTAAGATGACGCAGTACAGAAAAACACTTTTAAAAGATATATCTTACTTCTAGCGTAAAGTCCTACAATTCAAAATTAATGATTCGATACTAGATAAATTTTCCTATATACCTTGCTATAAAATATTAAGTATTATTCGAATTTGAGCATAAACGAGAGCAATCTAATTTTATAGTTAAGTGTTTTGTAAACATTGATAGGACCTGATTCTAGTTTAGGATGATAGACAAGTCCTTCAAGCTAATAGCACCTAAAGTAAACTTTTAAGGAAAAACAGGAAAATAGTCTTAAATAACCTATTAGTTAAGTCAATGAAATGTTGACCTAAAGGAAATGTAAACAACTTATTAGGAACAACATGTCNTTTTTTGTTTTGTTTTATAATGCTGAATTTCTAAATACCATAGCTGTCCCTATGATTCTGTTGTGGAATAAAATAATCTATAGGAACAACGTGATATATTATCTAATTGAATATATATTGAATATATTGAAATTTTGGCTCCTTAACACTACAGTTCGAGAGGCACAGTAAAAATGTTCGTTTTAGGAAAATGCGAAAACAAAGTAGAACCCTCCTTTGAAAAATCCTGGATCCGCCACTGAGCAACCTCAATTCATGGGCCTTTTCTTTGGGATTATATTAAACAAAGAGAATTAGCCTGTGCTAATTGCGAGCCCAAACTAAGAAAATGTTATCCCTGGAATCAGGACTCCAGGCACTTGCGATACAGAATCTGAGCGAATGCATGGAATTCGATTCACATCAAATGGTGGAATCTGGAATCCACTGTGATGGAATACAGACTCCTTGTGAACATGTATCATTGCAGGGGTTTAATAAATGATCATTGAACAATGTAGTAGATTCTGAGGCAAGTCAACTCTTTCCTCTTTACATACCAGTCCAGCTTGAAATAAAGGGGCTTCTTTTTTAAATGGTGATCCTGAAACATCAAGATAATTTATAAAATAATAAACATTTGCAGGGTCTGAACTAAAAGGAGCATGCAAAAAGTATTGTGATTAACTACTTGGCATATTACATCCCTGGGGGAAGGGGGAGGGGGGACTCCCATCATTRTATCATAATGGACAAGACATCTGTGCCACTGTTACCCTTATCAGGTTGAAGTAATAAAGATATAATTTTGTTACCTGTAGGTTTAGAAAAGTCATCTTCTGGCTCTAAGTATTCCCCGTCTGAAGACTCCTATAAACCAACAAATACAATCCACGCTCTCACTAAGTATCATGGAAATGTTAGGAATACTTACAAAAACTTACATTATTATCTTCTTCTCCTGAACTATCCCATTCATCAGTTCCCCATCCATCGCCGTCACTTTCTGATAATGAATGCCCAACAACATCTGTTATAACATTTATCAATGTCCTAAATTAATAAAATCATTGTAAGTTTACGCACCTTCTTCATCATGACTGAATGATGCAGTCTTTCTTGTAGGAACTCGCTGAGCTTGATCTTTGTTGCCAAACATTCTATGATGGTCATAAAAATAGCACAAAATTGGATGGTTAATGCCATGGGCTCCTGACGAATCTCATGATAGGTCAAGAAAACAATGGACAACAATGAATAAGTCTTTTGAACAATAAAACAAAACCTAACATAACAATAGAGCTGCTGTACTTAAGCAGCAATCAAAAAGCAGATTTTGTGCAACATTACTGTCTGATGACTGATTAACCAAAGAAATGCAGTTTGATTGTCTGATTAGTGTTCAAGAGAAAATAAACAAAAGAGAGGCGAACAGAAAAATGAATGAAAATTCAAAGAAGTTACTTACTAAAATGTTATTTCTTGTCAAACAATTTTAAAATACATTACCTGTCAATGTTTCCTTTTTTTCTTTTCTTAAATTTTTCCACTGTTTTTATAAGTTTCCTTCATAATCAGAAATACACAAAAGAAACAATTAAGGAGTGTGCAATTGCTAAAACAAATAGGCTTGTTTGCATACTTTTTGCTTTCGTGTGAAATATGAAGGCTTCTGAAGTCAACATCACTTAAGTTCTGCAAAAAAAGAATTATAACTGCAATTATTTACTTAAATAAAAAACAAGCTATATATACAATACATTTAATAGTTTCTTTGCCCCAAAGAGGAACACCTGCATATTATATTTTTCCCAATTTATAAGTACCTACCAATAATTTACAGCCATCAATTTTTTTCCAAGTAAATGTCTCAACACAATCATCAAATCCTTCCTAAAAAGAGAATTTATTGAGTTACGATCATTTCTCATATTTTTATTAATGAGCATCAATTATCTTAATTTGCACTTATTATCATAATTAGCATCAATTATCTTAATTTGCACTTATTATCATAGTTAGCATCAATTATCTTAATTTGCACTTATTATCATAGTTAGCATCACTTGTCATAAATATTTTTTCGTGCTATTGTTATCATTTAGCTGTAGTTATTTTTAGTTATTTAATTCTTTTAGGGTTTAGTAATATTTTTAGACATAAACAATCGTATTCTAGCTATTTGATTAAATTTCAGCTTAATTATTGCGCAACTATACCATGGAATTCAGAAAATGTTTGCGCAAAGAAACATCTACACACAAACATTGCTTCACTTTGCTTCAAATATTCACGGGTCAACAATTTCGACTTATGAATATTAATGTAWGTAGCGTCAAAATCAGTGTTTGTAGAATATTATAATCGTTAAAATCGATAGAATTGAACTAAACTGCAAGCACGGAAGTCCAACTTGTTGCACACATATAGCCTTCGAGCTTCACGAAGCTGTTACAATTACTAATATGATTGTAACATCTTGATCACAGCCAGTAGTTCAGGAATGTTACAAGTCTTGTAGTTTGGCTTTGAAATATCGCAGAAGTAAGAATTCAATGAAGTATTCATTAYAATGTGTTACGCGTAACACTAAATAAAACACTCTAAAAAAGATAACGAAAGTAAATTCAAGATCAAAGGAGATGGTGGTAAARACTACAGCAGTCTGCATGAAGCAATAATCAATTTTATGTTCAAAATACTTCGGTCTAGAAGCTTCTATGATTATCACCGAGAAGACACAAAATTAAACAATATTTACACCAATATTTAGACATTCTATAGTACCTGCAAAGATCAGAGACTACAGTATTACAATAAAGACGGCCCGACTGGTTGTTGGTCCGTCGGCTTGAGGGTTAATTTGAATGTTTACTTACGCTGCGAAGCCAGTTCCCTAGTTGTTCGACATCCCATTGATAGACATCATCACCAAGCCTTGCCATTGGTTTCCTTTATTCACAAAGTAACAAGAATGAAAGGAATAGAAAGAAATTATAGGTGTTTGATCACGTTTCAGCTCATTTGGTAACTCGAGATTTCACATGCAGAACAGACCCGGAAGAAGATATGTTATGTCGTCACGATCTGTCAGGGGTGGGGTGGGGGAAACAAATGACATGAAACGGGACCGCATTACATTTTATCATATTTTCAATACACTTTGATTWCTGTTAATAGCAAAAGAAAATTTGATATATTCTTAATTTATTACGGATATAATATCGAACAAAATGAAGACAAATGTTGAATCAGGAATTATGGGAATTTCCTGTGGCTTGACTATCACTGTTTCCGAGAATTTCTCTGAATTCTCTATGTCACAAGAAGCGGAAGAGTTTTAAGGATTAATAAATTACCCTAGCTTCCCCTTTTCTGATTTTGAGGATTTCGACGATTTTGAGCAAAATGATAAAAAAAAATGAAAGGTGGATTGGGTTTCCTGTGTTACCTGGCCAGGCTTTGAGAAGCCGGCACGAAATAGGCGCAAAGTGCTGAAAATCTGTGTAGCATTCGTCGTAGAATATCTTTTACTTGCAAATGGAAACGACTGATTGCAATCCTTGCAGCTTCCAAGTGCAGCTTGACTCAAACTCTTTGTTSCAAGTATTCTCTTTATTGGATATAAAAGACAAACAAAATGTCGCCCAAGTTTGCCAGCACTGGAGGGACGTTGCCTCTCTTCCTTCTCTTTGGAGGAACGTTAGCGTTGTTCTTCACAATAACCTTGGCGTTTCTCTGGTTAGGAGTTTATACCAGCGTAAGATAACGCGATTTGTGTGTCATGGATCTACTGAGGAAGATCTGTCGTTGTTGTTTCAGAKCAACCCCATTATCACTAGCCTCTATATAAGTGGGTGTCGCCATGTTAGTCAAACATTTTTGGAGACAAACTTGATGAAGTTGGAGAACCTTGTTTCTCTACACATTACAGAATGCAGGCAAATTAACCTGAACTCGCTGTACCATAAGAAATCTTTAAAAGGAGTATTAAGTAATCTAAAAAGCTTTACACTTCCAGTGGTCACACGTATTCAGGGGTATAGTAGTTTTGAATCAATCCTAAAGAGATGTCCACGTTTAGAGGAAGTAGGCTATGATGGAGATCTTCCTTTGAGATTTTTTTTCACATGTCCGGCAATGATCCTGGCCAGGTTATGCCCAAATCTTCAACGATTAAAGTTGGGACCTGAATGGGTGAAAAAGAAAAATGTATGGAGAGATGRCTTGGAAGTTCTTGATGTAAAAGCACTTGATTTGGACATGAGGCCACTCCACCCCCCAGGGCTGGGACCTAGCGTTGAAGAAAACATAATGTATATTGCTGATGTTTTACCAAAACTTGAGCGTTTGAATCTGTTTTGTAAAGGCAGAATTTCAGTTYATGGAATTATRACTCTTGTCAAGAAACTKAAAAACTTGAAGCATTTTGACKTTTCTCAAGTTTACTTCRCTTTTGATTGTGATAGAAYAAAAATATTCTATGAGTTMTCAAAAATGTCACAACTYGAAACACTGAAACTTGACTTWCRTGAAAGTATCACAGCTGAGTTGYTTTACACRCTTGTTGAAGGATTGRCAAATTTGAAGCACTTGGAACTTGGTGATGTTGGGAGTATAAGMCCTGAYTATGCAGACCTCATAGGGGGACAGTTACAAAAGCTCAGGTCATTCAAAGTCACGGTATCACCTTYTGGCGGATCTGGAATTGGTGCTCTTTGTGGTAAACTACCTAACCTAACTGATTTAACTATCAAACATGGTGGCCTTACCAATGGAGGTTTGATACAAATGTCATCAGGAGTGACACAGAGTCAACTTAAGTCACTTAATGTTGCTGGAAGTCAAAAAATAAACGATCAAGGGATTACATGCATTGCAAATACTTTTAAATCARTGACGTGCTTGGATATTACTTCATGCAGTGTGAGTGATTCTGGTTTGGCAGTTATTGCTGAGCAAATGAADCAACTGGAAAGGCTGAGTGTAACTGGGAGGAAGGTTACAAATTATGGTAAATAGTTGTTTTCATTTTGATGACATTGTATTCTATTACCTTAATTATGATTATCTTTTGTTCCTAGTCTCCTCGCACACTTTCTTAGCCTGCCACTAAGAACGGCTGCGAGGAGACTATCCAGAGCCATCAAGCCATTAAAAACTTGTTTCATCTATTTTAAAACCTCTTCAGTTTGATTACATATTCCAGTGWTTCTTATTTTTAGGTGGAGTTATGATTGGGAAGCACCTGAAACGATTGGAGCATTTGAAGATCAGTGGTACCAAAATTGGAGATCAAGGATTTGCCTTCATCTGCCACCAGCTACAACGTCTTCACACACTTCAAGCATTTTGTGACATGGTGACTGATCAAGGGTTCCAGGAAGGTGTCAGAGGGCTAGGGAAGCTAATAACGCTGCAAATAGGGTCCCATAATATCCGCAGTAAAGGATTTCTAGATGCTTTGGTGCATTTGAAAAGTGTTGTCCACCTAACAATCAGAGCAATCACKYTACGTGATGATGGTATACAGCATATGATTACAGAAATGCCCTTGTTATCAAAGTTATCCATCCATTGTTGCAACCATTTCAGAAGCCTTGAAGATGATGTTTTAAAATTCAAGAATAGGCAATTGCATGACAAGAGAATAACATTGGAATCAAGGTTTTATCCATGTAAACGTTTCACTCCCAGGAGTGAGTTTACTGGACAAGAGCTATGGGAAATATTTCCCTACCTACCATTCTTATATGAGTGAAGTTAAGGAACTTGTGAAGCACAAGCAAGAACAGAACTTATATAGTACTTCTGTCATGACTTTGTCAACATGAATATAAACTTTGGAGAATTAGGAATTTATCCTTGAGTGTACGGCCCTCATCACTCATCTTGACTATAAACTTGATAAAGGACCTTTAATAGTCACYRTAATCAAGGAATCTCACSCACTAAGCTCAGGAACTTGTTACAGGCCAGCMTCYTTTCTKTCAGCATTARAAGTTACTTGAWAAGTGCATGGTTRYATACYTRAAAGCAATGGAAGTGGAGCTAGCGATGGTTTATCTTTTTTATGGTAAGATCCAAGATTTGTGAGTCTTAATATAGGGGAGTAAGGGGTTTGTATGATGACTCTTGGACGTACGAGGGCCTTTAACTAATCAATTAATCAAAATGTTCAAACTGTTTTTTATATAACTTTCTTATATTCATTTTATTACATATGTTTTATTACATATATTTCTTACTTAAGAATATCCCAAAGCGTATTTATGTACAAGGTATCATGAATTGAAACAAATTTCATGTTTCATTTTAAAATGTTTTGAACTTGGAACTCTCATAAATAAATAACGTTGACGAATGTAAATGAATAGTTTCTAAATCTATAATTGACCGCTCCACGATCTCCGTCTCAAAACGGTGTCAAAAAACCCGCCTTTTTTCTTGAGACTTTGGTGATTCATACATGAGCGAATTGCCTCGTGAACGGCTTTTAACGTCTCAAGATAGCCATCTGATATCGATATCTGGTAAAACGAGCAGCCTATATGTTGTGCGAGAAAACGCCCCTCGTATTCTTCGACTTCTTTTAAGTGTCTAAGGTCGTTTTTWGTCGCTACAATAGTGATACAAGCAGGGTCGATGTTTCGGGCTTCGTTGAGGTGTTTGCTAAGCTTTGTAGCGTCTGTGAATGAAGAGCGGTCGGTCGTTGAATAAAGAACAAAGAAGAGCTCTACGTTTGACGTACTGCAGTCTAATCTTGCCAATGAGCTCTGTGGAATACAAGAGAATTATGTTAAGAAAGTTACTTTTCAAACCTTATTATTTCAAACGWTMGCGATTTATCAACTGCGCATGCTCTAATGTTTTCCGAGTACGCTTTTACCACATGGCTGCTGCAATGAATTCAGATCTATATATTTATAGTTAAACTAGTCATACAAATAAGGGTTATATTTAAAASTTTGTGGTTCCTTACATTTCCCATCGAGTCCAAGATCTCCACATTCAAAGAGTGACCGTCCATTTCAATGTTATTTTTGTATGTACACTCTGAAAAACCAAAATAATCAAAAGTTAATTATGAAAATATACGATTGAAATTACCCATGTTCCTTTTCGGCCTGTTGAGTAATTTATTACTTTTGACAATGTATTTTCACAAGCTGTAAGTATCTTACCGAATTTTGAGTCGTACTCTCCAATGAAACGTCTTGTTAGTGCTCTAACTATAAACGCTGAAATGACAATTAAAACAATGCATTAAAAATATTGATAAAACATTAATAATAACTTATAAACTGATTTTATATAAGTCAATAACAATAATTGTATATTTCATATATATTTAAGATAAAGATCCAGCCAATTGAAGAAATTCTGACTGATAACTGATAGGATGGTATATATTTCAAAAAAGCCTTTGATTTGCAGTTAAACTGGAAAATTTGATTTGATGACCCTAAATACTATTCAGGGACGCATAATTAAGTTTGATTGACTTGCAATCTTGTTTGGCTACAAAAGGGCGAAAACAAAAGTTACCGACGATACACGCCATAAAATCATTACAAAATCTTCAGTCAGAATTACTTATGCATATGAATGTAAAGAAACTGAAAATTGAAATTGAAAACTGAAATTGAGAATGTATGTTGRAAGTAGCCTCGGTAGCAGGCGAATACATAAGACTTCTGCAACGGAGGTTACAGCGAACGTAGACGTGGAAGAACGCCCATAAGGATAGAATAACAGAAAATAACGTTATCAAGGAGAACAGGACCAATAGACCCACAAAGAGGGTCAAAACGATCGATAATTAAAGACGTCACAGAGATTAGTACATTATCTTCACTTAACTCCTGTTATACACAACGCTACCATTTGACCGTATTTGTACATAAAAGGAGGATTTCTTTACAAATATTCAGTAGCTAAAGAGTTCAAAAGCGTGTTTACTTTTAAGAGCTTAAAATATAGCTTCTTCGTGCGCTTACTCGGGCTTCCTGTAGTGATAAWCGTAATTGATTACTAAGATAGCGAGTGCGCAAAGCTGACAAGACCAAATTTAAATTATTTTCATTTAAAACAGTTATTGAACTCACAAAACAATTGTGTTAAATAGTAGATGTTTCTCGACAACTTCGCCCTTTTCTACATTACATAATTTGTCAAGCCTTAGAAAATCCCTTCGTTTAGTAAATTCAGCGCCTGAAAAAAAGAGGCATAATGTGCCTTGTGTGGATGCCAGGCCTTAATTTGTTTTTGTTGCCTCGTGACTTTGTAATTGCGTGACTATCATACAATTATCATCGGGTTTCGTTGGTGATTAGCTGATTCAAACTACGTCCGGTGACACGTCGTGTGATTCCTAATGAGTTTCCTGTATTTATCTGATGCTTTTCTTGGCGGGAAATCCTCGTACGTGAGCGCGTTTTCAGTATTCAGCCGCGCGCACGTCAATTGGTTCCGTATGTCTACACGAATCAATTTGTAGCATGAATTTTCTGCTTGAATATTCAAACATTTGTTTAGTTATGCGTAGAAGGGGATTTAATGTTAACTAAGCTCGAAATGACGCGGTAAATTTTTACAAAAATTGTACAAGATAAAAAAGGTGTGTGCATTCAACGTGTCACGGAAGAGAAAATTTTTTAAGAAAATTCACAGGATATAAAAGGCATATTTCAGTTTAAAAGTGCTAAATAACTAGGCGAAACGTTCAATAAAATGAAAAAAAAAACATCTCTTGACGTCAACGGAAGGTCTTTGCTAATGCGTTTGTCTATCAATGTTGATGAACTAAACATTACTGCTCCGGCTGTAAGAGAGCTGCATTTAAGTAATAAACGCTGTCATCAAACAAATGTATGAAACTCCTAAATCACCGAAAACTGTCACTTAAAAAATTGGAGCTTGTTGGTAATTAGATGGATTTTGCTCACATGGCGCCTTSACTGAATACGTCCGWGTAGGAAGCCAGAAACTCGAAATATTGGCGCGGTGATTTGAAAATGTTTTTAAACATATTTAAGAATCATTATTCGAGCTCGAGACTTAAGCTTAAGCCATTAAACACAAGTGCCAGTCAAGGTATTAAAACACCCAATAGAGGGTTGAAAAAAAGCGAGGCGTAGTGGAGTTTTTCGTTTTAATCTCGCCTTATAAGAGATTCATAACAATCCTTTCTGAAAAACACACAAAGCGATGGTACTCTTATCTGAGATATCGTGCTCAGACTTACTCGCGAAATTCTTGACCTACAAAAAAACTGATAAATATTACAGTTATCAGAGACATGATGTACCTGAGATATCTATTGTATTTAGTGCTATAGAAGTAATGACCTAGCTTAAAACTTTATCGCCAAAAAGCTCATTTCGTGTTATGATTATCGTGAATTGACATTGGCGGCGTTCTTACATGTGATGAATAAAGCTTTATTCCAGTGTTTACGACATTAAAGGCTCTTACTGAGTAAAATGGCCAATATTTCGAAGAATACAAAAGCACAGTATGTGGTAACTTGATCAACAATACTGTGTTTCATAATACGAATACATATTAGGGATTAAAAAAGATGTTGACAATATTTCATTAATGAAATATTCAGTACGTATCTTTGGAGAAGATCACTTGATATCTAGCCAGTTGTCAATGGTTTGTGCTGAGTGCGTCACTGTTTATAATATGAAATCCTTTTAGTGTTGTTTTGTGCAACAGTTTCTCGAAGGGGGAGGAGGGATGGGGTCTTCTACTGTGCCGTTTTCGCTAACGGGCAAAGATTCAATCTTCTCCGCTATTCGAAATATCCTTGTTGTTATTATTAAAAATTCAAAGGTAATTTAAAAACGTTTTTTTTTTTCAATCAAAATTAAAAACTGTGTTTCACATCGCGCGCGGTTTTCGATTAACTATAACATTTTTGAAATAGAGAAGCATGTATTGCCTTAAAAGCATTTTATGTTTAGAAGATAGAAACATTTTCATATGTTATGCTTATACAAATATAATTTTCATGTTTTAGATTTGACGAAGTTTGTTTGAAGAAAACTTAATATTGACGTCAAGCTCAGAGTATAGTCGTGCGTGATACATTTTGTTCCTTTCTCAAAGATCGATGATTCTTTTTACGAGGAAAAACACTTTGTTTATGTCATGAGTAATACACTTAAGTGATAACAGACTCTCATTTTTTTTTTCTTTCTTTGATTGACGAATGTCGTTTGAGATGTCGACACATATATTACGAAATGAAGGCTGAAAACACGAGAAACGTTTCTTTAAGCATAGTTAGTACAGGGAAATTCCCCTCTACTATGCTTTAAGCTAGCAAAGAGGATACCATACTTTTTTACTATAAAGCTTGTTAAAGTACTATTTTAGTCATGAACGAGAGCTCAAAAATGACAAAATTTCAATACAAAAGAAAGAAGAAATTTGCTCTCTWACCWGATTTCCCAACGCCATCTTTCCCTAAGACYGCTATATTCAAACTTTTAATATTTTGTCCTGAGCCCCTTCGCGCTCTTTTTGGTGAGCTATTCGCCGTGTGCACGGGTTTACTTGGAAGCGTCAAGTACTCCTAAATAATTATAAAAACAAATTGTAAATTACTTTGAAATTACATATCGAAAAAAATCGAAATATTAAAAGTAACATTTCTCACCATAACAATCGATGGATATCTTTCAATAGAAGCCTCTTTAGATCCTTTCTGTAGCGTGTTCACTGATAAACTGCCTAAGTGAGTTAGCGCCAGTTGAATTTATACAAGGCCGAAGAGGTCAAGAGGAAGACCGAATCGAAAACACTAATTTTTGCACGGCTATATCGATAGCGAATGACGTCACGAGCTTCAAACGCGCGCGTTGATTAGAAAATCACCATTGTGATTTCCCTTCCTGTTTAGAGCACATGTTTAAAAAATATTTTCAATTTCAACACGCAAAAAGCTTTTGGAGACTCTACTACTCTTTGTAATAATCTTGTTAATCGCTTTAGGCGAAGAAAGGAGCTTAAAGAACTGTGAAACTCTCGGAAAATCGGAAAAGGAGAGTTCTTGACTGAACATTTCGAGTTTTTCCCGCCATTATGGGCTAAGGTTATTATGATAAAGTAGTAAGCTCTTTAGTGGGGAAGAAAGTGGCTGTGTTCGCAAAATAGAAAGGGGCCAATAATTTACGACGCAAGTATTTTATTTATCTTCAGATCCAATGTCAAAGTTCCATAAGATCATTTTCTCTGTGACGCACATCAGTTGTTCATCTCTTTGCGTTAGGCTATATAGCATTCCAAAGTCAAGTGGCTTAGCTGTAATACTACCAAATATGAAACGATATATTTTTCGCAGTGGCTTATTAAACAGAGCATAGTCACCCCGATTCTTCTGCGATTTAAAATAAGTTCAAATAGATGTCATTGTGTGGGTTTGAATTTCAAGTCTGTTTARTTTGTTTTTGGAGTTGTATTTATGTAACGTTTCTATAGAAGGTTATATATTGAAAATAGAGTCCTCAACGTTCCAACACCCACTCACCTCATAAAGCAGAACCAGTATATAAGTATCSAAATGCGCTTTTAATTTTTTTGTCCTCAAAATGATAAAAAATGGTACAAAAACGCCGCAAGAAGGCGTAGGCTTAGAAATCTACTTTAAAAGTACTACGAAAAAGTATGGCAAATCGATTTACATTGTATTTTTAAAATAATTCAAAGAGAATTTTTTAAGAATAACAGAGATTTTATAGATCCATCAAAGTCCATATTATGGAAATGAAATTATCCTGAAATTATCAATATTTACATTATTTTCACAAGGTTTTTTTTTACACTTTTTACAAAGTGTGAAATATCTTTTTCAGTGATCAACTATGACTTCCTTAGTGAATTATCACCTTATCGCTTCAAATCAGAAAAACGTTCTAACCTCAATGCATTTTAATGATCATTATCTCAAAATGTTTCTAAAAATGGAAGATACTTTCCCATTTAGTAACGAGTATCCGTTGTGGTTGTGAATAACTCTTTTTGACTGTCATTCATGATGGTCAATATTAATGSAGATGTATGACTTTAGCCGCTGGCAAAATAACCGACTACGTACAGTCTGCACTGTCTTTATTAAATCCATTCCTTCATGTAGTCGATAGTGTTGACAGCAAGACAAGAAACTAAGTCCCCGAGGCTATGTTCAAAATGAAATTCACTTCAGAATCACATGTATTGATTTATTCATAAACCTTCTTTTCTATGACTGTTTTAGCGCAGCTAAAAATAATCGATTTTCACCATAGTTATGTTTTCACAATACAAGTATGTAGATATCCTGAAGAAGCCTTGTAAGGCTACAAAGTATCGAATGTTTGACTATATTTCGGTTTTCAGTTAATATTATTGCAAAATTTTGCTATAAAATCATTTCTGTAAATTTTCTAGTTACGTAAAATCCTGTAAAATTACTCTTAATCTGGAATTCTACACTGTTATATACTTCATGGAAGTCGATGTTGTTGCTGTTGCTGCTGCTCCTGCTCCTGCTGTTGTTGTTGTTGTTTTTGTTTATCACATTGACCGCTTTGCAACTCATTTTACATATATTTTTGAACAAAATTTAGATATTGGGATCCAAAGGATTTGGTAGCCTAAGGCCAGAAATAATAGTACTAAAGATGCGACTTTTCTTATGTCGTGTTGAGTGATGACAATCCTTGGGGTAAAATGTAATTGGGAGGTCTGCAGTCTACTACACGCAAGAAAATGTGATGGGTTCAGGTGCATTAGCACGTTTTAAAACTGCGAATCTCTCAAGTACAGACATCAATGCAATTCACTCTTATGCTTTTCTCTGCGTTTTTATCTCGTTGCGTCGAATTCGACCCATTTGAAAGTCAGTGTTAACAACTTTTACGTTAAAAAAAAGTGGGGTGTTAAACTAGAAAAGCAAACGAAAAGCGTCGGAACTAGTTAGAAATTCAACGTCGTGTTGAGCAATAAAAGAGCAGACTGGATGCTAGACTAAGTTGGTTTGGTTAAACTGTAAGGAGAATCGAAATAAGGAGAGATCGCGAACTGTTTTGAATGTAATGTCCCATCCGCTGTATTGACTAATGCCGCACAGCTCGCAATGCATGCTGGTATATTAATATTTTTTGTGTGTGTGTACAAATGGAGAAAATAAACATCAGAATTGACGAGTCGTCAAAAACCTTCTCGTAGAGCGCATGGTCCACGTATATAATGAAAAGAGAAAACAAAACCTCGATTTCCATAGATTAAAGTTGATTGTAAGCTATAATGTCACATCCGCCATATTGACGGATGCACAACTCGCAATGCAGGCTGGTATAAATATATTTTTAAACAGAAATGGAAAAAWTAAACTTCAGAAATATTCGAAGACTACTTACTTGAATTCAAACAAGTTGGATTATATTTTTACTATGGTTAATTGATTTGWGTTGTTGAAYCACACGCTGTGTGCTCATYATAAATTGATACAATTTTTGATTATTCTAGGTGCCGGCTAAAAACACAGCCTAGGCAACACTTTATAATGTAACRTTATATGAAAGGGATTCTGCTTGCATGCGTCAATGTCGTTTAAGAACAGGGCATACTTTCGACAAATACGCTGAAACTGTCAACTTTTTAAGCATGACATGGACTGTTATTTAGTTAATGAATATTTTAGTTTGAAATTTCCTTTAAATGGGTTTCTTGAACAGTAAAATAATACTTAATATAAAGTAATTTGTGTACAAAGTTGTTTATGTATTATTTCGAGTTGATCTTTGTTATATTGACCCATTCAGACTCATGAACAACAAGTTATCGAAAATTATAAAAATAATTGGTTATAAGAATTGTTCAATTGTCTTTAAAGATTTAACTTCCGACGTAAAGTTAGCTCGCATGTGAAAGTAGTCTAGATATAATCATTCTCTGAGCATTGCTGCTATCTAGATAATGATTTTTAACATTTTTACCAAATTTGTATTGATCTTTTAGAATTGTTCAAGAGGTTTTTGAATRTTTGTTCTCAGTTTTTGGAGCAACATGATTATGTAGTCCACTGACTATAGAGACTATAGACTATAGATTCATTTTATTTATATATCATGTTATAAGATTTGCCCACTCTTTCGTTTTGAAAAGCTCTGCTCTTTCTAAAGTTACGACGCACAGTTCATAAAACAATAAAAGCGATTCTCCGTGCAGCACGTGTAAGATTAGCATTTGAATGGCTTCTTTTACTCCAATCAAAACATAAAGGCATTAAACCAAATATCCAATTATTATCAAGTTCACACTAAACATGCATATAAATGGATCATGGGGTATAAAAATGAACAAGCKATTCATCGCAAGAAAACATCTCATCATAAGAGTCCGTTTATCAAAAATCATGGAGCATCGTAAACCAGACAGCTTCGCCCCTCCACCACATCCGTTTCCTTTTAACTTTTACAACAACT